TATATACTTACGTAGTTCGACCATATATCGAACTACGTAAGAGTCTGAGCTTGGATGTGGTTCGATGGCGAGGCACTCCATTTCCTCATTCTCACCGGTTGATGCCCTCGGTTCTGCGGCGCATTTGCAGGCATCACAGGCGCATTTGCAGTAGTAATTCCATCAGCTTCTCGCTGCTCGCTGCTCCCGCTCCCCCCCTCCACCACTCGGCTCCGACCTAAGCACGCCAGGGCAGACTTGCTAAGTAGGCCGGGCAGACTTGCTAAGTAGGCCGGGGCAGACTTGCTAAGTGTGCCGGGCTGAGTTGCTATGTGCGCCGGGTGGACTTGCTAACTAGGCCGGGGCTGACTTGCTAACTAGGCCGGGGCAGACTTGCTAACTAGGCCGGGGCAGACTTAGTAAGAAGGCCTGGCCCAGTTACTCAACTTCCCCAATTGTGCCCGGCCTACTTAGCAACTGGGCTGTATCTTGGCCAAGTTCTGGCTAACTAGATGGCCGTTTTGCTAAGCACTTATAAGTCAGCCGGTGTGGTTAGCAAGTACGCCGGAGAAGTTGGGAAATTTGACTTGTTTATAACTTAGGTTAGCCAGGTTATAACTTAGGTTAGCCAAGTTGATAACTTAGCCATCCTGGCTAACTACATAGCAACAAGGCCGACCATCCAAGTGGGGAGGAGCTGCAGGTTGCTCGGCCCATCGAGGCCTCAAGAATAGATTTCCGTGGGGAGCCTTCGTTCGATCCAACCCCTTTTTTGGATGAGAGAGGAGAGAAGATTTTCAACCGACCAATCCAATCAGCTTTAAGCCCTGAGCAGAGCTTTGAGGCCCCCCCTCCAGTGAAGATCTTTGCCTCTGAGTCCGAGAAGTGGGCTTTGCTGAAAAAGCTGGACCAAACAGTGAGGTTGGGAGTCATCAGAGCTAAGGAAGCTTACTCCGGCTATCAGGCTGGCTTGTTCGCAGTGACTAAGGATTCAGATAAGGACAGGTTGATCTTCGACAGCAGACCTTTCAATACACTGGAGACACCACCTAACCGGTGGATCAACTCTATGGGAGCGTCTTCGAACCTTCTGGAGATCCAGCTGGCTTCAGATGAGCGAATGCTGCTGTCGGGCACCGACCTGCGAGAATTCTACTACAGTTTTGCGCGACCCCAGAGCGTGTTGTGAGAAATTCTTTGATTGGCACGTTTTTCGCTTCTGACATTCGAGATTTCCGGTGCTATGACAGGAAGTTGGAGGGCGCCGGACCTCTTTTGTTTGGCCTGAAGACGTTAGAGATGGGTGACACCTGCGCTGTTGAACTCGCGCAGACAGCCCACCTCGGCATTTTGGTGCAATCCGGCCTGGTGAACAAGGAGGAGCTTGTTGGCATGACTTTGCCTCCGCCCAGGTCGCCCAGCATGTTAGGGGTCGTCATCGATGACCTCGTGCTCTTTGAAATAGTTGCAGCAGGTCTTTCGGCAGAAGATCCCTCCATTCAAAGCGGTCATAAGCTGGATGCTGCTCTGGCTAAATACACCGCACTGGGATTGATTCCTCACCCTGGGAAGACTTTTCGACTGGAGGACGAGGCCGAGTTTTGGGGGGCGCACGTGGATGGCGTCTCAGGAATGGTTCGAGCGAACCTGAAGCGCGTGGTCCCTCTGCTGTTTGCCACCACTGGAGTGATTAAGTTGGGCATGTGCACCATTTCACTGCTGAATGTACTCATTGGGTCGTGGACTTCAGTTTTCTTGTACAAGAGGCGGCTGCTGTCCTTGCTCAATGTTTGCTACGCAGCTTTACAGAGTTCAGAGAATTCCAGAACTGTTCTTCGGCTGTCAGACGAGTTGTTGTCCGAGCTCATCCTCATTGTAGCTTTGGCGCCGCTTGCTGTCACTTTCTTGAAAGCTGCGAACGCAAGCGACGTATATGCTTCTGATGCCTCATCGTGGGGCCTTGCCGTCTGCAAAGCTCGGCTTCCTTCCTGGATTGTGGGAGAGGTGCATCGACACAAACTCAGAAAGAATACCTGGGTGAAGTTACTTTCTCCTGCAAGAGCCCTCGATAGAGTCCATGGCGAGCTTCAGACTGCGGACGAGCTTCCTGGAGGTGACACTTTCCATGCTCATCCTCTTCATCAGTTGTTGGTGACAGGTTTACAATTCGAACAGGTTCTTCGTGAGAAGAGTCGGGATGGCCTGCATATTAACATTGGAGAGCTGCAAGGCATGGTTCGTGCCGAAGCCGAGTCAGTGTTCGCTGGGTTTCCAAATCGAACTATGTACCTTGCCGACTCACAAGTTGCTCTGGGCTGCTGGATAAAAGGGAGATCCTCCAGTTCGGGGCTGAACCAAGTCCTTCAGCAAAGCTTACCTATTCACCTTGGATGTGGGTTGATTTCGACTGCCGGGTACGTTCCCACCGATGTCAATGTGGCAGATGATCCGACCCGAGGCAAGTCGGTTCGCCGTCCCTCTCGGGATTTGCCAGAATGGCTAAAAGAGCATTCCTCTCTCAGTACCCCTGAAAGATGTTGTCGGCTAGACGAGTTCCTTGTTTCTTTTTGTGCAGACCCGTTTGAACTTTCAGGTTTGCCGGATTTTGATGAGCTTCGTAGCGAGGATTCCCTACCTCTAGCCTCGTCTCGAGTGTTGCGCAGCAAGATGTTTTTCGCTAAAAACCGTGCTAAGAAGGTTTCTCGGAATGGCCGGGAGCTGAGAGATGTTTCGACTTCAAGAGGTAGCCAAGAATTTTGTTTCCCATCGACCTCGCTCCATGAGTTTTCGTGGCCCGATGAAGTTGCTAATCTGCCGAGCCAGTTCGATGCAAGTCAGTTCATTTTTCCTCAAGCCTGGAAGGTTCCTTTAGATTGGAGGCCGGTAGACAGCCTTCCTCCTACGAAAGGTTATTTAGACTTGTATTCTGGGAAGAAAGGTGTTGCCAGGCGTATTGTAGAGGAGGGCTCTGTCTGGGCCCTCACCTTCGAGCTCGAAGATGGGGACAACCAAGACTTGTCCGCTCAGTCGCTTCGAACGATGATCAGGCGCCTGATTGAGCTTGAAGTTTTCTTTGCAATGGGTGCGGCCATTTTCTGTAGGTCCTTTTGAGAGCAGTTCGGCCGCCTATCCGAAGCAGGGCCAGCCCGAGGGGCCTCCATGATCTGACTGCCAGAATGTTCACGGCGGTCTCAGAAGGGAATGATCACGCCGATTGGCTAGCAGAATTGATTTCGGTTGCGTGTGAACATGATTTACTTTACTGGGTTGAAAATCCAGATGGCTCCTTCCTTTGGCTGCTTGATGCTTGGATTGAGCTGGGATCCCAAACCCAGAGAATCTTTTTCGTTTGGACTATTGCAGGTGCAACTGCCCTTGGAGGAAGAGGATTCGTTTTCTGACGAATTGTCATTTTGTCTGCGGGATCATGAACATCGGAAGTTGGTAGGCTGGTCTCGAATCCATAAAGCTTGTTGGACACGAGTTGCTCAGACTTACCCAAATATTCTTTGCAAGTGGATCTCCTTAGCTCTTCTCATTGATGCTGGGTTGCGACCTGATCGAAAGCACATCAACCTGGCGTCGATTTGTGGAACGATTGGGCGAATTGGAGAGGCATCAAAGCCTGGTCCGAGGTATCCCAGGCAGTCGAGCAGACCCGTTCATTTGCTTGACAATGCCACACTTGTAGAGGCCGGGACTGAACTGATCGGTTCTCGAGTTTGGGAAAGATTTCGAGCGTGGTCCCTTAGATCTCTTCGAGTTAGCACTTTCGAACAACTGGTCGTTTAACCAGACTTCCGGCCTTTCATGGGCAGAGCATGGCAGTTGGTTGTTCGATGGGAAAGCCTGGAACCCGTTAGACACCGCACCCCCCTGCCACTAGTCCTGTTCCGAGCCATGGTATCCATTGCTTCTCTCTGGGGCTGGCGGCGCTTTCTGGGTATTATGCTGCTTTCGTACTTTGGAATCTGCAGGCCGGGCGAGCCTCTTGGAGCCACGAGGTTCGACCTTCTACTACCCAGAGACCTTGTATACGAACAGCCAGATGTTTGCTTCCTCTGCATACGGCGCCCGAAAAGCCGGCGAAGGGGTCTTGGAGTGGTGCAACATGCTAAGATCACTTCTGCGTCAGTTGTGGCCGCATTGGATAGCGTTTTCAGTGGGCTGCAAGCTGGCGAACCTCTGTATGCCGGGTCACCATCATCCTTTCGGCGACGTTGGGACGCCATTCTGGCTGCTTTGGGGGTTCCAAAGACCCTGGGCCTGACTCCGGCTTCCATGCGCAGTGGTGGCGCTATCACTGCGTATCGAGCTGATGAAGACATTGTCAAGATATTCTGGAGTATGAGGTTGAAATCATTGCAAACTTTTTCACACTACCTTCAAGAAGTAGGAGCACTTTCAGTTTTCGGCGAGTTGCCTTTTGACAGTCGACTGCGCATTGAGCGAGCAGCGGAGCTCTACCCCGTTTTGCTCCCTGGTCCTAGTTTTCCTGGCGGCTGAGTACTCGACTCAGCCTTCGGCCGCGTCCGGTCCTTTCTGGAAAGTGGTTGCGAGGGCATTTGATTGGCTGACTGTGGCATGTTCTCTTGAGCATTTGCA